ATTAAAGTTGAGGAGCTCTTTACAAATCATAAATTTAATAAAAACACATCACATCTCATTTTCTACCCCAAGCTTTCTTTGCCTTCCTTCTATAAACTGCTCCTGCCCTTCTCTGAACCTCATGGTTCATTTAGCCCTCAATCGCTCTTCTTTTATTCTATCCTGGTCCAGGTGAGTTTCTCCAACCAGAACAGGGTCAGACTTTTTTTTTTTAACTTCTTAATATAGCTTACCACTTGGCATAGTGTCAGGAGTATGACTGACATTTTTTTATTTACTATTTTTTATTAGGACAATAAAGTTGGTGTTGAGATGTGTTATCTTGGATAAATGGCCATCAGTATAGGCAATGGTATGTGTGTGTGCGTGAGGCAGCAGTTGAAAGGAGGGTCTAAGTGCAATGCTAGAGCATTTTGGAAACAGTGAGTCATTTATATGTTGGAGTAGCACTAATTGAATGCATTGGTGATCAGGCTCATTCCCTAAGTTTCTGAAAACCTGCTAGAAAAACTTACTCTGCTAATCAAGAAACTGAGATATGAGATTAATAAAAAAATACTTCTTTATTTTCCTTTTTTAAATATATTTTTTATTTATTTCAGAGAGAAAGGGAGGGGAGAGATATATAAAAACATCAATGATGAGAGGGAATCATCCATCAACTGCCTCCTGCATGTCCCACACTGGAGATTGAGCCTGAGTCTGCAACCTGGGCATATGACCTGACCTGGAATAGAACTGTGACCTCCTGAGCCATACCAGCTATCGGAATTAAGAGAATTCTTACACTATTTTAACACCAGGAAGCAATAATAAGCTGCAGCTTGTACTCAAAATAGCTTAGAAAATATTATAAATGCTTCTGTTTGTAGCATTTTACACAATGGGTAGGTTTCATAGATATTTTGCTATTTATGGACAGCAAATGATACCTAGTACTGTTCCTAAATAATTAACCAACAAGTGTCATTTATAGCAGGGAGCAAATGAAGAAGATATTGACATTCAGGATACACAGAACAGAAAGTACAGGGATCTTTAATTCATGGGTGAACAAAAATGGAAGCAACATGTTGAACATCACATTTTTTTTATAAAACGGTTTCAGGGTCATATATTATTAAGTTGATACATAGTCGCAGAGTTTCTGCTCAATTCTCTAGGCCCCACCAGCCTCCCATGCATCTTTAAGCAACATATGTATGCTATGCTATGAAAAGAGTTGGTATAGACAAGGTCAGCTAAGAGGAGCCCCCCCCCCATTTATTGAGCTAATTCAATTGTATCTGTTTTATTGGTAGACAGATTCTCCTATTTCAGCAGAAAAAGGTTAGTCATTTCTGATTACATGTATTTGAGAATTACTTCCACATTTATATCTAATGCCGCTCTAAGAGGATTTCATGCCTGTACTCCCAGTGAAAGGTTCTGTTCTGCAGGATTTGTACCAGAGATAATAATAGGATTAATTTGCAGAGTATTTAAAAATTCATCACAGCATTTTCGCATCTGTTCTCTCTTTTGATCCTTTCAGCAGTCCTGTAAGACGGGTTAAGTGTGTGTTCTATTCCCTTTGGACAAAAGAGGAAATTGAGGCGCTGAGGGGTTAGGCGATTGGTTAGAGGACAGGTCCTAAGTGAGTAACAGACCTAGAAGTTGTGTTCTGTGCCTCCCAGGTTTTGTGCTCACAGATCAGAAAGACCATTTTTGAACACAGACACAGAGTTACATACGCCTACATTTGGGTGCAAAGCAAAATCAAACACGGAGCCCATTCAAATGGTAATGCTGGAGCCCCACGTCTGGAAACTCCAATTCAGCTCAGATTCGAGGCCCAGGACATCTATTCGTAATAGAGCACTTATGTGGCTTTGAGTCTAGTTAACCAACATGATTGGATATTCACTCATTCATTCATCCAGGACTGTTCCCTGTGAATTCTACCTTCATGTACTTGGCCTGTTTTCCTCAGAGGTTGTTGGAGTTTTTCAAATGTACTGACCTTTTCTCTGTGGTGTAGTTATTGTTGAAGATGTCAAAGTTATTGTTTCCTTATGACTGACCTAGAGAAAACCCTACTCCAGTCCAAATTTTAAAAACTTAAAAGATTATAAAGCTATTTCATTTCTTACAACAAAATAAAATCCATATCTAGAAGAGACTTTGTAAATGGATAATAAACATGAGATACTATGGCTCATAAATACAAATGAAGGAAACAAGATGCTATTTTTTTACTTCAAAATGTATGAAAGGTAGAAAAATGTGATGTGACATCTGTGAGAATGAGTGGAAATGGGCACTTTATGTAATGTTGGGAGAGAGTTATGGGAACAATGTCTCAGGTGGTGAGATCGGCACTATTTCTCAAAAGTAAAAATGTATGTTCTCTTTGATATAGCAGTACTACCTCCCAGAATTACATAAATCTGTGCAGCAAGGGTGTTTAAGAATAGACATTGCAACAGTGTATGTAACAGAAATAAATGGAGGACATCTAAATGCTTCCTTAGAGGGAACTAGTTAAATAAATTATGGTACATGCATAAAAATTTATGCATTCATGAAAATAATAATACTTCTGTGTGCTACTATGCCGTTGTCTTCAAGATACATTAGGGCTATTAAATCTTAATTAAGGTAAAAATTACATATGTTACTATTTGAGTATGAAAAGGCGTATAAAGTTAAAATGTGTATGTCTATGCTTGTGTACACATAGATATTTCTTTAACGATAAAGAGACTATTAACTGTCACACATTTGGGAAGGAAAACTGATAGTTTGAGGTAAAAAGAAAATTAATTTTATATATGCTTTATACCACTTAAATACCTTGCAATGTGTATTTATTTTTTAATACTCAATAGGTAATTGAAAATAATTTTTGTGCTTAAAATAATTGTCAAATAAAATGAACTGTAAGTTGTAAAATATATCTTCACTTTATTTTAGTTAGCACTTTTACTATGGTTTTAATAATATAAAACTCATGTAACAAATCCATTTATATTTTCTTAAATATTACATATATTTCTATGATAATTATGTCACTTCTATTTGAAAACTAATTATATGTCTGGGAAACACATTTAGTAATTTCAGTCCATAATTCTCTAGTTGATCCATATCACCTATCAGATTTTGACAGAGAAATAGGGTTTTCAAAATTAGAGACTGTCAGAACAACAAAGGGCCTCAGACTTTTTCGAAGACAAAGAAAATTGAGACCAAGTAGATTTATGTCTCCTGTGCTTGTACATTTGACTCACATGGCAAAATTTAGGATTAACCTCAAGTAAAATTTAATACTAAGTAAATTGATACAGTGAGAATCAGAGAACATGAATTATTCAAAACAACATTTTGTTAGCTGGCTGTCCATCCATGGACAAGTCTCCTTTGCTCTCTAGGCAACCTTGCAATGCTTGGTGGGTCCCAAGGAAGCTGTTTGCACCCATTCCATTTGACTGAAAACAATTTAAGAAATTCATGAACTGACTCAGGACCTTATTAACTTTATTACTTTCTCTAGTTTTCCAAAATTTCTGGATCTGTGTAAATTTTCTCATTCAAAAGACAAGTCACGTTAAATCAAATGAACATTTGTTTAAACAATTACTCTGAGCAGAATATTTTAGTAGTTCTTGTAAACCCTTTCCCGGGTGAAGAACTCACATTTTTGCCTCATGGTTCAAATACAGCTCAAGTTCATGTGAATCTTTCTTTCTTTGATTATTTATCTCACAAATTGTCCAATTCACAATTTGTTCTTTTGGTGCTCTTTTATTGTTTAGGGTGGCTTGTTCCACAGGCAGAGTCTAAATTTTCTATTTCCCATTGCATGAACCTAATTAGCTCTTGTGACTTTAACAATAAATCCAGAATAATAGTGAGTGAAAACAGATATTTCAGACTGAGAGAACTTTTTAGATCACAATTCAAACCTAATTGACTTATCAGTTGCCAGAAGTACTGTTCAATAGTTCAGGGGGATGCAATATGAAAACCTAAGACAGCAATATCCCCAGGATGAGACACTGATATATTCTGGAGGTGATTCTGTCTCCTGCAGAGACAGAAGAGGAAGGAGCAATGGACAGAATGTAAAAATAGACTCATGACTCAGCATCATGATCCCTCTGTTTGTGCCCCTCAAAGAGAGAAATCTAAGAATGCCCAAATAAGGGCTGGAAGAGGTTAAAGGGAGGGGAGGGAGAGGAAGACCTATGTAATACTTTCAACAGTAAAGATTAAAAGATAAAAACACACGAATACCCATATATATATAAATGGGTCTGCAATTATCTAATAACTTCCTTCTATCACAGAGGTATCAATGTGAAATGCTAATTTGTTTTCAAAATTTTGAGGGAAATTTTAATTCTTCTATGTTTTAATGTTTGGGGTATACAAATTTAGATCCATTTTCCTAAAATTAAGTAATTAAATAGAACACTATTAAAAGTATATAATTTCTCTATATAAAATCCTACCATTACGTCAGTGAATCTGCTATTTAACATATATCCCCCAAGATCTCTTAAATCTTCTATGACTAAAGATCAATGCCCTGAACAATTTAAAACATTATTTCTATAATGGTACCAGAGGCCCAATGCATGAAAATTCATGCAAGAGTTGGCCTTCCTTCCCTTGGCTGCCAGCACTGGCTTTCCTCCGCACCCAGGACCTGGGCTTCCCTCCTCCAGCTGCCGGCAGGCACCCGGTACCTGGGCTGGCTTCCCTCTGGTCCCACTTTGTCAGGAAGGATGTCCGGAAGATATCTGGTCTAATTAGCATATTACACTTTTATTATTATAGATATTTAGACCTCATAGTGCTACTCTATCTGCAAAACCCACAAAAACACTTTTAGAAACTGTCTACCCAAACACTTAAGTCTCATAATTTGTCTGCTTTTGACGTGTTATTTTATTAGTGGTGTGTGTTAGCTTCACTGTCTTAAACTGTATCCCGATTTTGCTCTTTGCTTGCAGGCAGAGTTCACAGCCATGCGGGAGCAGTACATGCGAGGTGGGGAGGGCTTCATCGTCTGCTACTCTGTCACCGACCGCCAGTCATTCCAGGAGGCTGCCAAGTTTAAAGAGCTCATTTTTCAGGTCCGTCACACCTACGAAATACCCCTGGTGCTGGTGGGCAACAAAATTGACCTGGAACAGTTCCGCCAGGTGAGTGCCACTTTTATCCGTTAGCTTCTCTCCTTTCCTCCTCGGACACATAGTACCAAGTCTGGCTGCTTTCCAAGGTTCATATGGAGAATTCTGAGGAAGAAGTGATGCACATGATTTTTCTAAGAAATCTTGGAGGTTCTGTGGTATTTTGTGCAAGCCACCACAATATGTCCCGTCTCACATGTATGTGACTTTGCTGTGTCCTTACCACTCACTCCCCCATCAGGAGGTTTCTTCTCCCAGCCTCTTGGATCTGGGCTGGTGTTGTGATTTATTTTAAGTAGTAGAGTATAGTATAACTTCTAAGGTTGAGCCTCAAGAGTGAAGTTCTTCCTTTTCCACTTGAAACACCTGCCTATTAGGGTCGAGCTGCCATTTAAAAAGACCAAGCTAACCACTGGAGAGAGCCCAAAAGCAACATCCAGTCTCATGGCTGTCCCTGTCTAGGTACCAGATCCGTGGGCATGACCACTGTGCATGTGCCAGCACCAACCACGATCTGACTGTTACCTCATCAGATACCCTATCCGATGGAACAGGAAAACCTCCCAGCTGATCCTTGTCTGGATTTCTGACCTCCAGAATCCTGGGCAAATAACATGGAATTGTTAAAATCACCATGTTTGGGATTTTTTATTGTTTCATGAAAAATTGAGCAAAACAGAACCCTTGCCACCTTCCAGAATCAGAACAAGCAACAACATCTCAGGTTGAATAAGAAATGAACCTGCTTCAAGTTGCCCCAGCTATATCACCGTGAGCCCCAGAGAGTCTCACAATTTCTCCAAGCAAACAAAATTGATAACGCAGAATCCATGTCTAGTTTAGACTGAAATCCATTACCAGAGTTCATGTGGCGCATCACAGTTTATTCTCATGTCATTAGATACTATCAGGGCCTAATGGGCAAACCATGACGGCCTCATCTCAGATGTCTACTGAGTAATACTTCAGCTGTCCTTGGGACTCCTGAAGAGACTAAAACACAAAAACCTAGTTCAAGGTCCAGACAAACCATTTCATCATTTCATTGCCATGACTCACTTTGTGCAAAGTTACATTACGGAACAGTTACATGCAAATCAAATTTTTGTAAATCCAAGTCTCTAAATCGAGTGGCTTAGTTATAATCTGAGATGCTTCAACTTTATTTGCATCGACTTTAAAATTGAACTGGTTTATATTGGATGTCTTAAAGTAGCCTGCTAATAAGGCCTTTGCTAAGGTGAGAATCTCCGCTAAAGCAATTAGTTTTCTCCTACATTAAGTATTTTTACATTTGGATTTTTATATCTAATGCATTTTAAGTTAAAGTGAAAAGTTATCGTATGGAGCTAATGTCTATGAATTTATGCCTAACATAGAAAAGTATTCCTGTGATTTCCTGCAGTGCACTTTTGTGATGACTTTTTTTTTTGTATATTTTACTTGGAAGCTTAAGCATCTTAAAGTGGACACTATCTGCTTTTTAGGAGCTCTGATATTTGTTTGTTTCCTCTGCACCTGTTCTTCTGTCTTGCTTTATTGCTTTCTCTTTCTCCAAGCAATGTTTAGCGTAATATGGTTACATTACTACGAGATAGAAATTCAAGTTTTTCTCACTAGCTAAATATGAATCTATA